CTGCCTGCTAGAAACCCGTTGCCATGGCAACACAAAAAAAACATCAACTTACTAGTATTAATAAACTAATATGAACTTTTCCACATTGTAGGAAAGGTCTCCAAATTTGATACTTCTAGCGCAAGCCGTTTAGCCGCTATCTGAGATCAAAGCCCCTTCAAAGCCCCTTCAAAGCCCCTTCAGTCTGAAATGGGTTTAAAAATCGGGTATTTCTTCTTGTCTTCTTTTCTTCACCAAAAAATAGAAAAAGTTCAAAATGTATGATATTTGTATGTAATTTGGACACAGAGGTTCCCACATCAGTTTGCAAAACAATTGAGCTGGTAGCATGTTGATAATTTCTAAAAATTAGCAAAAAACTGTTCTGGGGTCCGCGCGGACCCCAGGTGTACAGATTAATCAGTCCGGGAAGGTGTTCTGTTGAGGGTTAAAGGATAACACTTTGTTAATCTTAGCAGAGAAGTGCTTATTGTGACCAACAACGATGCATATTAGGACGCTAGATGTGTTCATAATTTAGTACTTAATTTAATGTTTTCCTACTCATGCTGTAGACTGACCTGTCTCTGTTTGTTTCATCTTCTTAAATCTAGGTCAATGGATTTTATGGTTAGGACAGACAGATGATTAGATAGGACACAGGGAAACAGAATCGGGGTCAAGAGATAACACGTTGGAAAATCTGTAAGTTAACTAACTGTTACCGGAGAGTTTCGCCAAAAACACTTACACAAGCAACTGGATATGGTTTTCGAAACAGTCAGAACGAACTTTTAATACCTTTAAAAAGGTCTAGGAATATGATAGTAAAACGATGAACATCTTTCCAACACACAAACATTAAATTTTCATCGACCACTGTCGCCTTCATCAGGATAATTAATGACCAATCACTTGTTGGTAACTGTAACTCTCGCGAGTTCAAGTTGTGAAGTGATAGGCATTTTTAAAAATGTTTTCTATTATTATAGTAACACACCAGGTTTAAACCGCCCTAACCATCTGCTAAATACCTTCGTAATAAGTTAAACAGATCCTAAGATTTACTCTCAAACATCCTGTGCAGTACCACCGATTTTGTGGACGTAAATGGCTACTTTTCCCCGGGCTCTCGGTTACATGTTAAAACCCAAATAGCCTAGTTTTGTGTGTTCGTGTGTGTTGAACCATGTGTAAGTTTTGTCACCAGAAAAATCTGAAATACCTGATATGTATTTCTAGACCTGGGAGGCTGGAAACATCGAGGCACATCAGGAAATCATTTTGAAGAGCCAGAAGACTCGCATGACAAGCACCTATGGCTGTTTAATATTCGTGACGACCCACAGGAGAGAACAGATTTGTCTGAAAAGTACCCTGATGTTGTGAAAGTGCTCCTAAACAAGCTAGCGTCATACAACAAGACTGCTGTCCCACCATTTTGGCCACCTCCTGACCCTAGGGCAAATCCTGCATTACATGGAGACCTTTTTGGGCCATGGCTTTAGTAAGTTTTCACTCCCTTTCTGTACAAACTTGCTGTATATATATATATATATATATATATATATATATATATATATTAACACGTTCAGACTACAAAGGGACATATTCGCTCAGGAGCAAATACAGCATATTTCAGTCCATACTGTCATTCTACAATAAACATATACCCTCAATTAGAGGGATAAATCTCAAAGACGAGAGCAGTGCCAGGCGACCTGGCGTGATCAAGGCGAAACTGGAGCGAAACCATGTCATCCGGCAGCTCGCTGCAAGTATCCCCAACGGAACCAGCATGTCTCCCTTTCTTTGGTGCCGCTGGGGAAGGCGGAAGCCCAAGTGTGTGGGTCTCAGATTCGCAACATGTTTTCCACCTTAGACAAATCCACTCGAAGGCCATCGTGTCAATTGTAACCCTCACTCAGGTGTAGGGACTGACACGGTCATCCTTCTCGGAAAGTCTGTATCTGTATATCCGTACATGAATCTGTATCTGTGCATGAATATCTATCTGTACATGAATCTGTATTGTGCATGACTATTTATCTGTACATTTATCTGTATCCGATTGCAAATAAAGATCACGAGTGATTGCCATAGAGAGATAGTGCTTCTCGATATTATGTGTTTCCGATGTCTTCAATACCCATACAGTGCTTGTTTCCCACATGGGCTTAATCATAAACATTTTAAGTCTAAGGTCAACAAAAATCTGTCCTCACTGTCTGTATAGCAACCCACAGAATCTGAGTGGCTCCCAAGAGCATTGTTTTGTGAACCGGAAGTAAATAAAAAAAATTCTAAAATAAATACGATAATAATATTTGAAAGTGGTCTTGGTGTTATGTTTGCCCGGACAACTAATACATTATAAATATGTCTCAGTTATGATGAGCCGAATCCTATTTTAAAAAGAATATTTAATTTATTCCCTTTTTGGCGTAAGGGAATCGAAAGGGAATCTGTTGTGCAGACTATTTTTAGGTACATATTATGAATCTAAAAAAAAGAAATCTTTAACGGCTTAGATCTCCGGCTTAGATAACTTCCTGATTTTTTGCGTTGCCATGGCAACGGGTTTCTGAAAAATCTGGAAAAATCAGTAATTTTGGTTCAAACATTACAATTTTCCAGGTTCTATGTTTAATTACACATCCCTTTTAACATTAATAACATATTATATAATTAAAGATAATTTCTATAATTAAATATTCATGATTTTTGCTAATTTGATTACGTTATCGGTTAAAATCGAAGATGGCGGATAATTAGCTCTTGTGTAACCATGTTTTTTCACGAATTTTTCGTCTCAACTCCGTTTTTTCATATAAAACGTTAGTATGAGCATCTTTAGTCCATTTACGTTAGGTTTTGAGGCTGTAAAAAATGCAATTTTCAAAATTCAAGATTTCCGATCCAAGATGGCCGACAGCTTAATTATGCATGACGTCATTTTATGACGTCATTTTGACGTCAGTGTTGTTGCCAGGGGCAACATAAGTCTAAGCAATAATATTCTATCAGAAACTTTTTGTTAAAGTTGTACAGAGATAACAATTTAATAAATGACGTCATAATGACACAAAAATTGCTGTTATAAATTAATTTCATTACTACACCATTCTCTAAAAATTTGGTGGTCCTACAATAAGTGGCTGTTGAGTTACAGGGAGCGGACCTCAAAAGCCATTACCATCGTACAAGGTGTGTTTTTTTTCAAATACCTTTCGAGCTGTATGTTTTAGGTAAGGGTTGTAGTATTTTTAATTCGTTGAAAATAAAACAGATCTAAACTTTCAGTTTGTGTTATCTAATTAGCGAAAGCAGATAAAGATTTATTTGCGGTCATCAGCAGTCCAGAGGGGTCAGGGGTCACTTTTCAACGTTCAGGCGGAATTCACACAATACTTCCGCTGCATGGGATTTTTATTTTATTTTGTTCTAAATGGACTGCCCTATGTTTGAAAACGCACTGTTTAGAAGGGACTGCGTTTTCAAACAGTATACGTTCATATTACACTTTTCATCAAACTGTGCACAGAAAACATGATTTGCGTCTGTTAATTTTCCGTCCTTATGATGAGCTAAGGTGATAAAATGAGCTGAGTCTTCCCTTAACTGACATCATGAACGCCTCGTTGTGCCAGGGTGTGGTGCCGGACATGTTCAAAGACGCTGACGTTGTACCCGTACCCAAGGAAATGCCACCCCGACTAGAGAAACAGACCCATTTCGCTAACGCCCATATTTGCAAAAATATGTGAGGGACTTGTCCGTGACTGGTGCCTCCAAGATATCAGTCCGAACCTGGATCCTCGACAGTTTGGTTCTCTCCATGGCTGCTCAACAGTACACTACCTGACTCGTTTAGTACACAACATCCTTGAAGCAGCGGATAAACCAGGCTACATCACAACACTTGTTCTCACGGATTTTTCTAGAGCTTTTGACTATGTTCACCATCAGACTGCTATCTGTAAATTGCTAGATCTCGGTGTTCGACCGTCGCTTGTACCATGGGTCTGCAGTTTTCTGTCAGGCCGCCGCCAACGTGTAAAGTACCAGGGCGTGTGTTCGGACTGGCAATCTCTGACGTGTGGCGTGCCCCAAGGCACAAAACTAGGTCCGCTTGTTTTTCTCGCCCTGGTTAATGATGCCCTCCCAATCAATGAAACTTTTTCTGACAGTTTTAAGTACGTAGACGATATGTCTGCTGCTGAATCACGGCATATGTCCACTGCCCCCAGAATTCAAGACGACATTAATGGCCTAACGCAATGGACTGAAAACAATCACATGGCTTTAAACCCATCAAAGTGCAAAGTGATGGTGTTTTGCTTCGCTAGGCATCCACCCCCGCCGCCTGTCATCACAATTGGACCCTCCCAACTTGAGGTGGTACAGTCAGCACGCGTCCTTGGAGTTATCCTGCAGCACGACCTAAAGTGGACTGAGCATGTGACTACAGTTGTCGGCAAAGGGAGTAAAAGACTGTATGTGCTACGAAACCTAAAGAAGCACGGACTTGAGACAAGTGACCACATACTCATCTTTATTGGATTTGTTCGGCCCGTCCTCGAGTACGCGTGCGCGTTATGGCACCCCGGTCTGACTAGAGAACTGTCCCTGAAAATTGAACGTGTCCAGAAAAGAGCACTAAGGACTATACTGGGTAATGACTATACCGACTACCAATCTGCTCTGAACCTTACCGGTCTCAGCCGTCTTGACGCCAGACGACAGGAACTGTGCCTAAGATTCGCAACTTCACTTGCTAACTCTGATAAGTACCGTGAATGGTTGCCACCTAGACGGGGTGATACTCACCATAGAACTCTCAGGAATAGCAACTCCTTTACCCAGTACAAATGCAGAACTGCTCGGTATCAGAACAGCACTTTTCCCTTCTGCGTACGACTGTTGAATGATGACATGTAAATATTTGTGCGGCCTCCATCTATATAGTATATCTTATTTATAAGTAAAACGTAATCTCCAATTTGTTTTTAATATGTCTGAAAATTTATATTGAATGATCGTACCTTCCTGTTTTAATCTATTTGATAACGAATTTTGTATTATGTTGCCAATTGTCTTCTAGTAGATGAATGAATTGTTAAAGAACCACAATTCAGCCTATGTAAGGCTGCAAGTGTTTTTATCCCCAATAAACCATTTCATCAATAAACCATTTCATCATCATCATCAAAATATTGATAATATTGCTAACAAGCAAAATTATATTTAAATAACTCGTGATGGCCCCTCATCTTAAAATACTCTGGGCCGACATAGCGAAAGCTCCTATATGCTGCGTCAGCCTCTGTTGTTGTCTTGTTGTGTCCGAATTCCACAGTAGTACAGAAGGCAATCCGGATACTCCCCAGTGCAGAGAGGAAGAAAGCTTTTGAATAAACAGATGTTATTATGTCAGTATCCTTGTATATTGTACCTATATTTGCCGAAGACAAATTATGAGCATTTTCATTATCAACTTGCAAAACGATTTTGCTTATTGATTCTCCTTATGTATGACCTTTTAGACTTTTAAGACAGTTAGGATACTTAGGTTGGAAGTGCCTATAACATGTCGATCGATTTTTAATAGGTTGTTTTAGCTAATTGAATTCAGTTCGAGTTTATATTTATATCATACGAAACCTACATTGACGATTTATAAATCAAGAACTGTTGGAATGATAAAATTAATAAGCCATTTCAATGTTTAAGAAATTACATTGCCATTCTTCTTGTTTTTACGTATTTCATTTACGCTACTAATAGCACAAGAGTTTATAAAAAGATAAAAGATATATGTCCACTTTAAATCGACATTACTCTTTTAGACACTTATGAAATTGTTAAAAAGAAACTCCATACCGTAATGCCCAACACGGGACAGGGCTGGGTGTGGGTCAAATTCGATAGATTTAACTTCATGGGTGGAACCAAGAAAAAAAATCGGGACGAGATCTGCAACAAAACAACCTTAAAGAACGGAAGAAAGAAAGAAAAACATTTTGTTTATTTGAGGCCTTTACACGAATATAAGAAAAAAGGAAAGGCTTACCTTCCCCATTGCTCTTCACGAAAACAATAGTCCGCCATCTTGGCTTGCTGCCAAACTGACGCAAAGATATTAGTCGTAGTGTTCGTACTATATTAGTATGTTTACTCTGCTAGTACAGCGATGATAGGTTTTACTTATACTTTTTCGTCTCATTTGTTGTAATAGCATGATGACAGATGTAATTTTGTGAAGTATGAAAGTTCATCTGTGCTAGTACAAGTCACTGTGAAAGAAAGAAAGACTGAACTTTATCTCAAACACTGGAATAAATTGGGACTGCCCCCTAATTTTCGATTGACTACATCAAATGGACTCACAACTCAATAACGACGAATCGCGTTTCAGCCGACTCATATATTTTAACCTCTGACTAGATCTATTACGCAAAGATCCTGTTTTTTTTTTAGAAATGTATTATAACAAATGAAATGTTGC